GTTGTTGATACACTTGTGTAATTCACTGTATCAACAACGTTACTTGTGTAATTCACTGTATCAACAACGTTAGTGAATTACACAAGTAACGTATTGATACAGTGAATTACACAAGTGTATCAACAACGTTACTTGTGTAATTCACTTATCTCTGCTTCTCGTGGGGGTTGTTTACCTTGAACCGCTTAGTTTTTCAGATTCGGAGAGTTGCGGCCACGTGGAAACTGACGACCGAGTTTTACACGGTCCTTCTCGATCATCACAATTAGTAAAGGGATAACTGCCACTTCGGACTTAGTCATCGGTTGAGTTGGCCGAGGTCACCGAGTTCCGGTTAATACTTGAAATTCAATTTAACGTACTATTTGATATCACACCCATATGGAAAATGTGTACAACATGTAGGGTTGACCATATGTGAGGTGTACAACATGTAGGGTTGACCATATGTGAGGTGTACAACATGTAGGGTTGACCATATGTGCTTGTCGGTGTTTCGGTAAATATTCACTCTATGGTCAGTAATGCAGTGCGCTCTGTCCTCATTAAAACTTCAAGTCCATTTTCACATAAATTAAAGATTACTTGGTATGAAATTTTTACTTGTTTTTTGATACAGGCTCTACAGTGTACCTCTACATCAGTTGGAGCTTGTGGTACTTCACTCCGAAGACCACATAAAATTATATAGATATTCATGTTTTACATAAGATAGGTATGTGAATAACCTGCAACTGCATGAAACTTTTTCAAGTTAGGGTAGGTCACTTCTTCCTATTATACATTTTTTTTTTTAATTTTCAAAAGAAAGAATATAGAATAACTCATTGTTGAACGGAAGGGGTGGTCATTATCGTGGCGTTTGTCTGACGATGAATGTATTGGTAAAAGAGCCAAATCCTGTCTCATACAAATGTTGCTTTAGATTGTTTTCCGTTTCGCTATAACATATAAGATTTGTTTTCTTCTTGCTGATGTACATTTCGTTGCGAAACGTCCAACGTACTGGTAAAGCCACGTAGATAAAACGAAGAACTCTGAATTAAACTTTATAACTTTTGTTGATATCCATAAAACATAAAAAATTACTAATGTTCCCGTCATTGTCTTAAAGTGACCTAGTTCTTACTCTTATTATCACCCATGTTTTATTCTATCATTCAGCCTGGAATATCTTAAACAACTAAGAACATGATAAACAGATAAAATAACCGAGGCTTTAAAGGGAACATATGGCGATATTTTACACTAGGAACTATCAAAGAGGAGACACTCCGTTGTTATTACATTAGGAGCTATCAAAGAGGAGACACTCCGTTGTTATTACATTAGGAGCTATCACAGAGGAGACACTCCGTTGTTATTACATTAGGAGCTATCAAAGAGGAGACACTCCGTTGTTATTACATTAGGAGCTATCAAAGAGGAGACACTCCGTTTTTATTACATTAGGAGCTATCACAGAGGAGACACTCCGTTTTTATTACATTAGGAGTTATCAAAGAGGAGACACTCCGTTGTTATTACATTAGGAGCTATCAAAGAGGAGATACTCCGTTGTTCTTCAAGTCTTACTTTGATACGTGTGGTCATATCAAATGAATGACTAGGTGGTGCCGGATATGTTGCTTATTAATATGAAACAAACTACAGCTGTAGGACTGAGACAACGCTTCTTCAGAAGCTCTGAACAAGACTTCATTCCGTGCCTTTAGGGCCAAGGCGATCTTCTTAGCGCTACATATCTGTGGACAGCCTAGAAGGACTGCCCTCAATACACGAAGGGCTCGCGGAATAGAAACTTGAACCGGCTCTATTCCCAACTTTCACAAAGGAAGGGTTAAGGGAAGCACGAGAAAGCGTGCGCGCGCGTGCAAGTTTAAGTCTAACCGTTTTCAAGATTTTCTGACAGATTGAGAAGTCACGTTTTCAGATATTTATAATTTCGTTTGGATAAGTATCTGCGAATACAAACAGTATGTCAACGCGACTCCAATGGTTTGATTCAGTGTTAACTACCACTAATAACCGATAAAATGAAAACCAAAACCATGACAGGATGTAAACACTTCTGTAAATCTATAATAGTAATTTTTGTTTGAGAACTATTTTTATGTGCGTACATAAATAACTATGTATATAAAAAAGGTGAACATTTGGATAATCGTTTTGAAGAAAGACGCCTGACAGATCATGCAGTAACATCCAAGCATTTTGACTCTGGAATGATTTTATGGAGTGGAGGTGGTGAAAATTGTAACCAGTGTATGATGAAAACCCCATAACAGGAAGCCGCCATCAGCGCGTTTTTCTAGTTTCAACCACAGTCCTAATTGCAGCGTTTACAACAATCTCACCGAAATAGGTTGAAAGGAAATCACTACATCGTTCTTCCAATATCACCAAGGAGATCGAGCTGCTCCAATCATATCGCTTCTAATTCCTGCGTTCTTGCACACACTCCTCTAGAGTCTGATTACGTGTTATAGAACAGAGAACTTGAAATGTGAGCAGATTAAATTTACGTTTCGACAAGACAACTGAACCTTCAGCTGGTGGGAATTTCAGATTGAGAGGTACACTGTAGAGTCTTAAGTCAACTGAACCTTCAGCTGGTGGGAATTTCAGATTGTAGAGTCTTAAGACAACTGAACCTTCAGCTGGTGGGAATTTCAGATTGAGAGGTACACTGTAGAGTCTTAAGACAACTAAATCTCCAACTGGTGTTGTTTCCTGGATTGATATTACAC